TATTTGTTTCCTAACTTAACTTTAGGAGGATTGCCACCTGTTTAAAAAATTAAATTAAATTTGAATTAAGAAAATTAATTAGGAGAAATATGTTTCAACATATGGGCGCATAACGAAAGGGGCTTCAGAAGGTGGCCGTTTGAAAATATTTTGAAGAGCGTTGCCACCTTCTTGCAATGTCGAGTTTAATTAACTTATCCAGAAGTTATATGAAATTTCAAAATAATGATGTGAAACGAAAGAATATTAAGAAGACTTTAGTTTGAACACTTAAAATATGTTTGAGGTGTTGGAAGAGGGTTGCCACCTGTTTAAAATTTAAGTTCAAATTATTAAATAAGTTAAATTAATTATTAAAATATGGGTATCAATCGAAGGGGATTGAAAACTCTTTATTTCTGAACTATATTTAGCGGAGTTGCTACATGTTTAATTAATAAAACTCAACCTAATTCATCAGCTCATTAAACTATGTGTCGCAATGTTAGACGAAGAATATTTAAGAATATCTTAGCGCGAAACCACTTTTCAAAAGGGCTGCCACCTGTTTAAAAAGTCGAATTTAACCCTATCTATATATATAATACGCGAAAGCACTTTGTGTCCAGGNATTAAAAATGTCTTTTATTCGTATACATCTTCTTTTTAACAACCACCCTTTAATTCTTTGAAAAAAATTAACTTCTTTTCATTAAAAAGTCGTTGTATTTCTTCTTCATCAAAATGTTTCCTTATGAAAAGAATCAAAATTTCAAAATAGCATCTATATATCGATGGGCGTTCTTGAAAAGTTTTTTGAGATAGAGTGTTTTCGAACTGGCTGCCGAGATAGGTCGATCTTCCACTCAGCCATCGATATATCGATATGTGATATAATACGCGAAGGCATTTTTTGTGCAGCATAAAAGATCTGCACCGTTCGTTCGATTTTCAAAAAGAGGATGTCAAATTAAAGCGCTTGGCCTGTAGATGTGCAGTAAGGTTTTACTTTTTCGAAAAGAGTTGCCACCTGATAGAAAATTGCATTCAAAAAATTTAATAATCAATGCCATCAGATTCACACCGTTCGTTCGATTTTCAAAAGTGAGGTGTCAAATCAAAGGGCTCTGACTTTAGGTGTGCAATAAAGCTTAACGTTTTCGAAAAGAGTTGCCACCTTTTAAAACATTAAGTTCAAAGTAATACGCGAAGGCATTTTTTCTTCCGCATAAAAGATGTGCACCGTTCGTTCGATTTTCAAAAATGGGGTGTCAAATTAAAGCGCTTGGCCGGTAGATGTGGAAACTGGTTTTGTTTTTTCGAAAGGAGTTGCCACCTGTAGATTAAATGAATATAAACTAAGTAATAAGCAATGCCGTCATAACAGCACCGTTCGTTTGATTTTCCAAAATAAGGTGTCAAATTAAAACTATTGGACTGCAGATATGCCATAAGGTTTTACTTTTTTGGAAAGAGTTGCCACCTTTTAAAAAATTTCATTCAAATTCTCTAAAAAAATCAATTATTACAAAATAGGTATCAGTGGAAAGGGTTTTGAAAATATTTGTTTCCTAACTTAACTTTAGGAGGATTGCCACCTGTTTAAAAAATTAAATTAAATTTGAATTAAGAAAATTAATTAGGAGAAATATGTTTCAACATATGGGCGCATAACGAAAGGGGCTTCAGAAGGTGGCCGTTTGAAAATATTTTGAAGAGCGTTGCCACCTTCTTGCAATGTCGAGTTTAATTAACTTATCCAGAAGTTATATGAAATTTCAAAATAATGATGTGAAACGAAAGAATATTAAGAAGACTTTAGTTTGAACACTTAAAATATGTTTGAGGTGTTGGAAGAGGGTTGCCACCTGTTTAAAATTTAAGTTCAAATTATTAAATAAGTTAAATTAATTATTAAAATATGGGTATCAATCGAAGGGGATTGAAAACTCTTTATTTCTGAACTATATTTAGCGGAGTTGCTACATGTTTAATTAATAAAACTCAACCTAATTCATCAGCTCATTAAACTATGTGTCGCAATGTTAGACGAAGAATATTTAAGAATATCCTAGCGCGAAACTACTTTTCAAAAGGGCTGCACCCTGTTTAAAAAGTCGAATTTAACCCTATCTATATATATAATACGCGAAAGCACTTTTTGTCCAGGTGTCATCAGATCTGACCCATTCGTTTGATTTTCAAAAATGAGGTATCAAATTAAAGGGCTTGATATGTAAATGTGCAGTAGGTTTTTACTTTTCCGGTAAGAATGGCCACGTTTTAAGAAAATCAAGTTGAGATTATTTATAAATCAATACCATCATATCCCCATCCTTCGCTCGATTTTTAAAAATGAGGTGTCAAATTAAAAGGCTTCAATGCAGATGTGCAATGAGGTTTTACTTTTTGAAAAGAGTTGCCATAGGTATCAGTCGAAATGGTTATTAAAAGCTTTGCTTCTTAACTGTTAACTTAAATGTTCCCCCACAGGGGTCCAGACTAAAGGAGTTTAAAAAGGTAGTAATTTGAAAATGTTTTGAAAAGGGTTGCCACCTGCTTTAAAAGCCGAATTTAGTTATATGCAGTATTAAACTATGGGTGTTAAACGAAAGAGTGCTAAGAAATCTTCAGTTTAAACACCAAAATTTTGTTTGATGGTTTGAAAAGAGTTGCCAGCTGTTAAATTTAAATAAATTTTTTAATTAAATAAATTACTGAAAGAGGTGATTTTATCGTTCATGGGTTTGAGAAGGATTTATATCTGAACTGTTTAGCCCTTACACGTTTATAACTATTCCAAAGCAGTAAAAATGTTTTTTTTGGTTTGTATCTATTTATTTTGGTTTTATTTAACATTAAAGTAATACAACAAAAAAAAAAGTTTATATTTATGTGTTTTTTTTAAGGGGACATATCGTCGCTCCCAACGAAGAGTAGCACATCTCAAATTACCGTGGAAGACTAGCACGTTTCACTATTCGCGTCGAAGACTAGCACATTTCATTATTCGCGTCGAAAAGTAGCACATTTCAATCTCGCGTGGAAGACTAGCACATTTCACTATCTGCGTGGAAGACTAGCACATTTCAGATTTTTGCGTGGAAGACTAGCACATTTCGTTATTTGCGTGGAAGACTAGCACATTTCAGATTTTTGCGTGGAAGACTAGCACATTTCGTTATTTGCGTGGAAGACTAGCACATTTCAGATTTTCGCTTGGAAGAGTAGCATATTTCAGATTGGTAAGCCGCGAAAACTGCACGTCTCCGGTTTAAAGTAAATCATAAAAGCATAATATATATTGAAAATTCAAACGTTTATTCTATATTTCTTTAATTGTATTATGAAAATCATGAAATTCAGACGGTATATACCGTTTACTAATCATTTGTTGAATATCATCCACTTTTCTTTTTTTTTAAGGTATTTTTCCCTTGTAAGCTTTAGGCAATTCACAGTGTTTCATGGTTGACCATTGAACATTTTTTTTCATTAGGTTCAACTTCTCCTCGCTTTGCATAAAGTCGTATTTTACTGCCATGTCTACTTGATTTTTGCTATTTTTTATTGTAATTTTCCGTACATGTGATATCTTAATTTTTTGCCAATGAAAATATTTGGACAGTTCTTCGAAGGAAAATATTTCATTTGCGTTTGCGTTGTTGAAAATTTGTTGAGTTTTTTTAGTATTCTCCTGGGCTTTAAACTTGGGCCAATATGGATTTTTTTAAGAGAATTGACTTTATTTTAATTGAAGGTTTTTTAAGTAAATAAATAAACATAACATAAATAATATCACTTTGAAACGGGGTGCTCTTGATATGATACTGTATGTATATGTTTTTTCGTATTTATTTATAAATAAAGATTCCCTGAGAAAGACGCGAATGTCGAAAGGTGTAGGAGGAAAAATAAACGTTTATTTTACTTGTAATAACCGGCCAAAAGGCTCCATATACAACACTAAACTTTCAGCATGACCGAAGAAAAATAATTATAGTATAAACATACATATTTATGTAACTTTTTTTTTTAACGGCTGCTACAACCTTATATGAACTGCCTTGCGTATCCCTCTTCCACACAAAAATCTGAAATGTGCTAGTCTTCCAGGCAAATAACGAAATGTGCTACTCTTCCACGCAAAAATCTGAAATGTGCTAGTCTTCCACGCAACAATCTGAAATGTGCTAGTCTTCCACGCAAATAACGAAATGTGCTACTCTTCCACGCAAAAATCTGAAATGTGCTAGTCTTCCACGCAAAAATCTGAAATGTGCTAGTCTTCCACGCAAATAACGAAATGTGCTACTCTTCCACGCAAAAATCTGAAATGTGCTACTTTTCGACGCGAATAATGAAATGTGCTAGTCTTCCACGCTAATAGTGAAATGTGCTAGTCTTCCACGCGAATAGTGAAATGTGCTACTCTTCGTAGGGACCGACGATATATGTCCCTATATGCGTTAAGGTATACATAACAAAATATTTAATTCATAAATTTATTTATAATATAAAAATAAACATTAGTGATATTCAACAAAACAATTACGTTCTGAAGTGTAAAATAAATGAAAGTTACATGTTGAGCATGTGTTATTTGTGCGATTCTCAACATGACTTTTTGCACACTGTACGCATCTTTTTCTATTACTCACTTTCACCATTACATGTGAGGGTGTCCCGCGCTTTTGTGCTAGAGAAGCTCGCTTTTTTGTCATAACAGCTGACGGCAAAGCTCTTTGTCGAGACGAAAAACTGCCAATAAGTGAACGAGCTACTACTTGGCGAAAATCTAGACTTGAAAGCAGACTTCCTTCAACGCGTTTTGCTTCGTACAGCTTGCAATAAATTATATACGAATTATTCATCGCGATATCTAGCAAGTCGAAGAACAATCGTAGGTAGTATTTTATTTTTGCCTTTCTGTCCACTTCGTAACACACTTTTTTTTGGTCCATGAGATCGACCGCTCCCATATTTTTATTGTACTTTAAAACAACTTCAGGGCATATTACATTCATCTTCTCACCACTACCTTGAGCCCGCCGCTTGATTGTCGTTTTCGATATGGGAGACAAGAAATTTGTCAATAAAAATACAGCCTTGTTATCCATCCATTTTATGAACGAAATTCCATTGCTACTGGTCGTGAAAATGTCTCCACGTTTCATGTTTTTATCAGCTGGCACGTTTTTTGGAATATTTTTGCTGTTTGAGCGTACTGTTCCACAAGCTTTTATATTCATTTTCGTCAATTCATACTGAAGATTAGGAGAATTGAAAAAATTGTCAAAGTATATTTCACAACCTATACCCTGTAAATCTTTACGCAATTGCAGCACAACCGATTCACCCAATCCAGTTTCAGGGCCGCTATTTTTTTTCCAGTATACAAATCAAACTGAAATAAATAGCCAGTAGAAGAGTCTGCCCTACACCATAGTTTGAATCCCCATTTTATGGGCTTGTTTTTGACATATTGCTTCATTATATTGTGACCTTTGAACTTAACCATATGCTCGTCTATTGCCTGGATTTTGGTATTGGTCATAGCGCTTTGAAAAGCTTGGTTGAAGTGCTCAAGAATGGGGCGTATTTTGAATGCTCTATCATAAGTTGGATCGGTCCTACTCGGTTCATTAGAATTGTCGCTAAAATGTAAGTTTCTACGTATTTCTTCGAAACGGTTTATAGGCATGACATTAGCAATGTACGGAACTCCCATATCAGGATCTGTAGACCAATAGCTGCGAAATGTGGGTAAGCAATGATACCCCATTACAAAATTCATTCCGAAGAAAGCTTTGACCTCTTCATTACTGATAATAAAACATCGACCGCCTTGTTCAGCATAACGTACTGATTCAGGAACTATAATCTGATCAACTAAGTTTTCGAATCCGGCAACCTTATCGAAAATTTCGACAGGAGTCAGCCCCTCATCAGAAGTGTGGGTGCTATCTCCAATGTTCACTTCACCGAAGTCATATCCATGTTCCTCCAGAAAACAGTGCGGCGAATATGAATTTTTTCGCCAGGTAAAAGATGGGGCAGTAACACTGGGTTGCTGGTTTTCAAGTATGTTGTCTTCTAGAGGCGCTGAATTGGGTTCAATTTCAACAGTAGACAAACCCGCATCCATATCTTGTGCTAAAAATGTTTGGTCCTCTTCGTCAAGGAGCAAACCATCCTCATCGTCGCTGTTGTCAGCCATCAAGACTTCAAAAATTTCTTCTTCCCGCAGCGAAAATTCTCTACGGCGATTTGAAGACATTTTCGGCAGTAAAATATACGAAAATAATAGTCCCAAACTGAAAATAATGGCAAGGCAAAAAATATTAATATTTGGTAGCAAAAGTCGCCTTTGATGCATATATATTTAATATTTATTAAGGTTTGTGAATAGTGTTGCCATCTGTTTAAAATATTAAACTCAATTTGGCGTCTTAACGCCATGCGGGTTCACTAGTATTCTTTATTTGTTAAATGACTTATAACACAAAAGGCATTGCATGCCACCAAAAGCATTTTCAAGCATGTAATATTCCTCGCAAGGCATTTTTGCATACAAGAAACAAAGCGCAATAGCCAAACACGATGTTGATTCGTTGCTCTCTAGCCCAGCGTTGCCAGGTTTCCGTTTTTAACGTCATTTGCATTGTATAGTCTTACAAGTATGGAAAGCGCCATTTTGTTTGTTTACATTTGAAAACAGATGAGATCACTTGATTTTCAATTCTCTCATTCTCCGCACGGAGTTACATTGAAGTTTCAGAAAATCTTTAAAAAGTAAATTGGGAAATATTTTAGAAAAATGTGTTTTTATTCATTTGAATTGATTAAATAACAAATTAAAAATGCATGCCAAGTCTTGCATTTCCAATAATAACGATAAATGTGTATATTCCAGGCAATAATTTAAAATATTTGTAAAACCTATCGTTTTGCGCTAAAATACAACAATGTGTGTAAAATTCGTTGTCATTGTTTCTGTTTTGAATACCATATTCGTGCCTGCCGGTGGAAAAAATAGGTAAATTTGCATTTATTTTTAAGAAAACATATAAATTAAAATATATGTCTATCCAGAGCGACATACGGATAAGTAACGCGATAAATTTGTAAGATGAATACCGCGGAAAATCTTTTGCATCAAAATTTCTATTCTAATTTGCATTTGAATTATGAACGTATTTTTTGAAGACAAATTTTTTATAAATCTTGAGATTGTTGACTTATTTTAGAATTAAAAAGGCTAGTTTATATTAAAAAATATATTTAGACTAGAAGTATGTAAACTACTTTTATTACGATTGAAACGATTTTAATGAATATGGTTACCATTAATAGTAGTATGACAGTTAGATATAATGTATATCTGACAAGAAAAATAGAATACAAGATTGCGCCGTCCTGGCGGCGATGACGTATCTGTACAGAAAGTAAACCAAGTCGATATGGATGTTGAAAGAAAATGTGAGAACAGCCAATTTTTTAATAATAAATTTTTCGATAGGGAACGTCTTTTAATTGTGCTGAATTCTAATAGCCTTATTCATAAAAACAAAAGTAGCTTTAAAAAAGGTTTATAAATTGAAAAATGTTTGCAAACGGCAATTTAAAAAGCTTTTTAAAATTTTTATTTTTTATGAATAAGGCGAAACAAATTTTCATTTAAAATAACTTTAACAAGGAAAATACGAAAAAGGTGATTTTTGCGGAAGTATGTATTAGTGAATTGCAGTGCATTTAAAGTTTCTGAGGTTTCGTTTACTTTTAGATCAGAATTGTCAAAATTGAGAAATTCAAAGTAGCAGTACAATAATCATAGAAAAGAAGATTGCGCCCTGAATGTTTTGGTATCTTTTTTGGTTTCGGTTTGACAGCCAGCTGCTGTGATGATGTGGAAATTTACCACAATGAAGAAAAAGTTGATTAGTTCCTATCGGCAATCAAGTCATTTCAACCACAAAGTTTTATTTGCAAGAGCCATTCACTAAAATTGTAACTAACTTTTTATTATTTATTGATTCCTTTTTGATAGTCAGCAATAGCAAGATGGAAAAAAATTATAAACCAAAATTAGTAATATGAATGTAGTTCACAGAGGAAAGGCCGGAAACAATGTATTGGCAACGACTTAAAATGTATGGCAATTTAGATGTCAAAAGAATAATAACTACGATAAAAAAGCATGAGAGAAGTGTGCGAAGGAGGAAATCTTTTCAATTTGAATAAAAAAAGCTTTAAATGCCATTTTAAAACGGCCAAGCCTTACAAGGTAAAATCACTGAGAGACAGACTGACATTTGCCAGCAATATAATTTTAAAATTCGAACTCAAGCTCACACAAATTCTCATTTTTAATCTCAAACAACAACAATTGTGAACAATTTCATTTTTTTATTTTCAATTGTATATGATTTTAAAATGTTTGCAAACGTCAGAAAAAAATCGTGGCCGACGAATTGAGAGAATGGTTTTACTTTGTAATGTTTTTGTCATGATTTTTACCATGATACAGAAAATAAGGTAGTTTCAATAACTTTTGACGGATAATAAAATTTTTTGAAGTTTCATAAATTGTAAGTATACTCAACGGCCTTGCCACTTTGATAATATTAAAACAATAAATCGGGGTGTTTTCTTTCCCATATTTATACCAATGTAATAACATTTCAAATCAAAAACAATTATCAGTGCTTGGTACTTTTTTTTACTAACGTAGTTGGCACCTTTTTTTTATTAAAAATATTTAAAATGTAAACTGTTAAAGGAGACTTCATCGTAATTGTTCTTTTCATTTTGTAATAAAAACCACGCGCGCATTATTCTGTTATTTTTTTGTTTTCTTATTTTGAATGCAATCTTGCGATTTAAAAATCGAATGTTCTTCCCAATTGAAAACTTTTTATATTTCGGTTCAAATTTACTTTTAAATTTCTCATAAGATTTTGCAAAAAATTAGGCTTTGTGATTAGCGTATCATCATTAAATTTAACAAATTTTTAATTTATGCAAAACACCTGAAGTCGGCTTGAACAGACCGCCCTCCGATAAACAACTAACAGATCGTCGCTTAAAGTACAAAACCGTGTATTAACAAAATGCACAACTGCGTATGTGAGGTCGCATAAACTATTTTGTAGAGAGTAAAAACACTCATATTTCAAAATGGTTCTCTTTTTTTACAAAGAAATCGCATTTCAGGACGAATAGATCAGGCTTGAGCCAAGAACTTGTGTGAGCAAATCCAATTTTTGGCAAAAAAACGTCAGTTACGCGGTTTTACAGAACGGGGATACGCGGTTTTGTACTTTAAGCGACGATATGTAAGTATACACTTTCCTCATACTTTCTGAAACCTAGTCGTCAACCCCATTTTCGAAATCATGTAGCCGGCATAATTTTCTAAAAGAAAAAGAAAAGAAAAAAGAAAGGTGGGTGCACAAAGAGTTAAGCTCAATGTTATACCAAAATTCTTAAAAAGTAAACAAATCTATTTTTTTATTAATGTTACTGTTATAGAGAGAGCTCTTTAAATCCATTTTATTTTTTATGAATATCGCCATAAGCATATACCGTTTTTATAAATATATCTTATAGCAAGATGCTATATATTTATTTATAGACTTTTTGACTGGCGAAATATGTAGTTTTTTCAACTTTTTAAAAAAGCGTATTTAACCACATTAAAAATTTTTTAATATTGAATGGCGTAACACAACAACACTTTTTGTTGCACGAAACCCTTGAGCACGTGCCTGTCATCTATTTCTTTAATTTTAACGTCATTCGCATTGTCAGATTTTTGAAATTCGTTTTGGTTCGACATTCTGCTCTTTCATAATTCTTTCATTCTCATGTCATCCATCTTCCATTTCTTACCTTCCATTGCCGTTCGCATCGTCGAACGTGCCTGTCAAACACTGCCGCCATCATGATTTTCAGTTTGGCAGGCACGTCCGCTGTTAGAAAGAGAACAGACAAAAAGGGGCATAGGATTCCATACTTGTAAGTATATACGATGGTCATTTGGACGTTTTTTGTATCCTGTTGACGTTTGGACGATTTCTGTGTAAAAAATTTCGTTTTTTAACTTCCCAGTAATTTTTCTCTATGCACAATATATTCAATGTATAGCGTACTATTTGCGTGCTAAGTAAGTAAGTAAGTTTTCGGCAAATTTGTTACTAATTATTTTCTTAATAAATCTTTACAAGCTCTGTTTTTTGCAGCAGGTGCCTCAAAAGATATTTATTCTTTGCACATATGATTTATATGATGTAAACCAAACGTACGTGCAATGATTTTTTTTTTAATTCTTGGACTAAGGATACCGCATTAAAGGCTGGTTGTGTAAACGCTTGAGGTTACATGGCTTTTTACCATGTTTGCAATTGTATATTAAAAGCCAAATCAGGAAGAGCTTGCAACGCGCACGCTCGCAAAAGCACTATGTTCCTTCTTAGCAGGATGTAATTTAGCATTTTCCACAACCGACCGCCTAACCAAATGTCTGCAAGAAAAAAGAAAATATTAAAAATCAACGCGATTCTTTAGCAACTTAAAACTTGCACCCTGGAATTTAATGGGCTATAAAACTGCGTACTATAAAAAATTATAAAAAATCTGAATAAAAACTTGAAAATCTAGCTGATACTTTGCAGATTTTTTATATTTTTGCACAAAGTTTGAAATGTGGATTTATATTGTGTTAGTTATATAATGAGCTAGGCTTTTATGAAAAAATAATAAACATTAAATAAGCAAAAGAGAAACAGCCAAAATCGATCAAAATGTTGATGACTTAATCATCTGATTACAAGTGTATGTATAAAATGATTTTTATATTAACGATCTCAAACCAGTTTACAATAGTGGTATTCACCAAATTGTTGTCAACAGTCGTTGCTTGAGCTCATCTGCTGTTCTGCCAGAGTGCCAGGCCACTTGCTCACTTTGGTGAATTCCACTAATGAATTTTAAATGTGCTCTGTCGAAATGACATTTTAATATACCTTACATACATATGTACCTTTGTATACAAAAAAAATTTAATAAGAACAATTCCGTGTGCATACATGGAAAAGACGTTTTTGGGTAGGAAATGACGTTTTTTCAGACCAAGAGGGACGTTTTCTCATGCCGGAAACCTGGCAACACTGCTCTAGCCAACGACTAAACGATAGACCGTAAGAATACGTGTGAGGTGATCTTCCACAATTGTGGTATGAAGCGCCGACCACGGTTCTGTGTATAGATCAGTGGTCG